CATTCCTGATGAATAAAATATATGCAGAAGCATTGCAATTTATTTATTTATTATTATCACCTTTACAAGATCACACATAAGAAGATTCGCAGATTCTGGGCGGGGTCAGCTAACGCTTTCTCTGGTGCTTTGAGCGCAGGGCCCCCTGCTCTGCCTGATGCCCCAAATGCAAAACCTAATGATGCGGTGACATTTTAATGAGTGTCTAATAGACCATATGAAGCATGAGTGTGGCTATGCTCTTCCTTCCTCTCCCATCGGGTTACATTTCACCCATTGTCACGTAGGGAGACCCACCGTCAATTTAATTTGGCAGCTAAATTTACAACAGCCATTTGCTTTCCAGATGTATAATTTATTTGTGTCACAGGCTATTTATTAAAATTCTCCTCCAGAAACCCCACCTAAGCCTTTGCACCTTAATAACTTACACATGCTGTTTTCTTCTGACCCTGCCTCCCCTTCCTGCATGTACACACACGGGCACACAGCCATCTTAGGCAGTTCCCGGATGGTCAGTCAATAGACACAGGGGGATACTTGGGGTCCCATTATTGGCCGCTGATTTGGATGGATGATGGAGTGTCCCTGGCTCCATCTGTACATATGCTCCTTTCCTTTGTCTTTGAGACACTTTTGGGAAGATGGATGAGATCCATCTGTGGAGGAAAAGGATGGCCTGAGGGGATTCAGGTGAATAAAGAATGGCAGGGAAGGGATAATTTGTGGAAAGCAGAGTGTTCCTAGGGAAAGTGGAAGGGAGGCCGTTTGGTGGCCCTCAGAGAGACCAGTATCCAACAGTGGGCATCTTGATAAAGATATAGCTAAAAATTAGATAAATGTCCTCACGCTCCGGAAGAATGGCTCAATGCATTGGTTAGAGGTGGGGGGAGTAGTGAGAAAGGAACTTGATCCAGTTCACATATAAAAGCAAATCAACCTAATTTGCACCTTCCCAAACAAAATCCTGCAAAATCTGCACTTTTGCAATGCCTTTCTCCAGCCAAGTAATGAGTATAAAAATGCATATACTAGGGGTAAAAGTGGGCCCTTTTAGTGAAAATAATAGAGAGACAATCATTATATTAGGGGACATATAACTGTTAGGTACTGTTATAACTGTTATAACTGTTAGGGACGCGGGTGGCGCTGTGGGTAAAACCTCAGTGTCTAGGACTTGCCGATCGTATGGTCGGTGGTTCGAATCCCCGCAACAGGGTGAGCTCCCGTCGTTCGGTCCCTGCTCCTGCCCACCTAGCAGTTCGAAAGCACTCTTAAGTGCAAGTAGATAAATAGGTACTGCTTTATAGCAGGAAGGTAAACGGCATTTCCGTGTGCTGCACTGGTGCTGGCTCGCCAGCTGCAGCTTCGTCATGTGACCCGGAAGTGTCTTCAGATGGCACTGGCCCCCGGCCTCTTGAGCGAGATGAGCGTGCAACCCTAGAGTCGGACACGACTAGCCCGTACGGGCAGGGGTACCTTTACCTTTACTAACTGTTAGGTAAATATGCTTTGCAAAAATACATATAGTAGGCAGAACTGCATACAAAAACCTGCAATCAGGAGAAATTTGCACTAAAATGATGAAGAATTTTCAAGTGAACTTAAAAAAGCTCATGTGGAAATGTGAACCAAACTTAAGATTTCAAACATGAGAAACAGAGAGAACGCAAAATTGACAGCTCGACTCATTTCTAGTGTTGGTGCAGGGAGAAAGCAGCTCTCTGTGCCAAAACTTCCAAGGGGGAGGAGCAGTTCCATCCTTGATTGACAGCACAATGATATCAACCGCTATGGCTAAAGTTTCTTTCTTTCTTTCTTTCTTTCTTTCTTTCTTTCTTTCTTTCTTTCTTTTCATACTTGCTACCCACAGATCTTGAAGAGGTTTACAATAAGGAAAATCTAAGTATGTTATAAAAAATGCTCTTCAAGGGCAGCCCCAGGAAGAGTGCATTGTATTAATCTAGCTGGGAAGAAAACCTAAGAGAAAACAAGCTTCTGGAAGTCATTAGCACTGGGAGGTTGTTTGGACAGTTGCTGCTGCATTGGTCCAAAGAAAGGAGAGGCCTGTAACACTGTGGAACAGAGCATGGAGATTTGGCTGTGGGTCAGCAACTAACGTCTCCCCTCTGTCATGGATCCAGGCCTGATTGGCACATGTTTCTTGCCTGCTGACTTCATTACTGCCTTTTCCTGTGCGTTGCTCTGCTCTATCCCAGCCGCCGCCACCATCATCTCTGCATATATTCTGACTTTCAGAGGATGTCCTATTTAATTAATGGTAATTTCACAGTCAACGGCTTTTGCGTTCTGCATGAACAGGGATAAGCATTGGCAGGCCATTGGGGGGGGGCTCTTTCATTATGGTCAATAAGGACATTCATTAGTCATGGAATCATGATTCTATCATCAGATGCTAGGCCTTTGATGCTTGCTTCATATTATGCTCAAGCAAACCCTCTCTTTGTGAAATTCATTTCCCTCTCCACCCAAATCTGTTAGCAATGTTTAGAAAACCAATTAGAGCCATCTTTGTTCTTATCTCATGCTGCATTACAACTATTTGGCTCAAAGAGGCAGTAAATCTTGACTTGTTGATGAAATGTCCATGCAAAATGCTCTGGTATTTTCTGGGACCTCATATAAGGAACAGACAGATCTCAATCTTGATGTGTGCAGATGATTTAGTGCTCTTCTCTCTTTCCCAATTGGACCTCAAAAATCATTTGGAGGTGTCCAGCAAATACTGTAAACAGGAAAGCCTATCTATAAATTGCTCTATGACAAAGTTCTTCATTTTTGGCAGACATGGATCAGCAGCCTATAGAATAAATTCACTCATTTAAATAACTGGGTGTACTCTTTAATGAATGCCTCTCTGGGAAGTGTTATACGGAGGCAGTGAAAGTCAAAGCACAGAAAACCATAGGAGCTTTCCATAACTGCTTTCCATAACTGAACTCTGCCTTGCTCTTGAATAAATGTCAACTAAGGTATTGGCTCTTCTGGATAGAATCCAGATGGAACCTGTAACTAAACAGAAACATCAAATTTCCCCCCATGTTATCCATTATTGAGAATATTTTGGAGCTAGTTATCTGACCAAACTCTCAGCTGCTTCCTTAAGTCATGCCTATTGCAGTCTTGGATGGTTTCTACAAGAAGGTTCCATATGCAGGCAGACATTGCATTTGTGGTCAACCTCAGGTGGAACACATCACTCAACATCTGTTAGCCTGACCCAAGAGATTGCTTTCTGAAACCTATGTTCACACAAGCAAGTGGGTACACCCTGGCAGAAATGGTCCATTTTCTTTTGAGTGACAATAACTTCATAACACAGAGAATGGCCCTCTAAGCACTGACTGCAAAAAAAAAAAAAAAACAGGAAAAAGGAGTTAGGTAAAATCACTATATATTGTGGTGGTGGTTCAGAGGTTTCATTTATTTGAGTTTGTTGGTGTCTCTGGCAACCTCTGTCTTACATCCTGGATGTTGGCTCATATTATGGATATATCATGATCTATATTTTTTGGTGTGTTAGGGGACGGGCAGTATCTCTGACATTGTGCTCATTCTTGGGCTAGTTTGTCCACCTTTGGCTCCTACCCTGCACTTAGCTCACCTGTGGCTCCTAAAGCTGTCAGCAGCCACACCCTGGGAAACGGCGTTGACTGGCTAGCTAATCCAGGTGAGGGGAGCTGATGGGTCTCAGACCTTCAGTGATGGAAGGGCTTCCTTTGTGTGTGAAGACAGGCTCCAGGGGATTGATGGAAGGAGACCATTGGTGGACCCAATGGTCAAGCAGGCGGTTTCTGCCCATGCTGTAGAGGGAAGAGAGGGGCAGAAGGAAAACTTTGTTCCTAAACCTCTGCTGCCTTGCAGCTATACTCATTCATGAGAAAGGCTTTGGGAGTAAACCCAAGGAAAAATCTGCACCTGCTGCTTGGCAGGAGATCTTCAGGAGAAGAAAAGCCTAAGGAGTAAACCCTGTGAAATCTGGAGTGGAGTCCCTAAGAAGGTTGGATGGTGCCTTGTACGCTTCCTTCCAGCAACTCCTGCAGCCAAGCGGGTGCCCAACATCTTGCTCTGCTTTCCTTTGGACAGTGAGGCTGGCGGGAGGGTCTGGTGGCCTGGGGAGGTCACTCTGGTGCTGCACACGCTGCAAAAACAACAGCAAAAACAGTGCAGGAGGCAGCACTTACGAGGTTGTTTTATTAGTACTGGTGTTGTGTATTTGTCATGGCCTTTGGCTAGAACAATAAACTGATAATGTAGGTTTGGCAATCCACCCCTATAGCCTTCTATGGGAAGAGCCCTGCTGGATCAGAGCGGGCCAAGGAGCAGGACCTGAGCGAAAGGGCAGCTCCACAGTCGCCATTCACAGCCCCTGATCTTCAGAAGTATACACTGCCTTTACTTTTATTTTATTTATATACCGCCCTTCATCACAAGATCTCAGGGCGCTTCACAGAATAAAATACAAGGTTAAAACACAAGTGAATAGTTAAAACGAAAACAACAAAACAACAAGCCTCCCACAAGCACGTTGAAAAGCCCGCTGAATAGGAATCCGCCCAAGGCAGCCCAGAGGCACCAGGGCTAGGAAGCCCCCTTTGGCCTCTCCTCTGCGGAAAGGCCGTCGAAGTTGGTGGCACCTCTCGGCATCCATGGTCCAGTCCTCGGGGAGGGGGAGGGCAGACACCCACCTCTCCTGCCCCTCCTGGATAGTGGCTTCCCCTCGGCTCCCGAACCTCCCTGCCTCGGTCTCCCAGCTGCAAAGGCAGCCACGATTGGCGGGGGGGGGGCGGGTGCTGGAGACGAGCGAGCGACTCTCCTTTCGGGGAACCCCCAGGCGGCAGCTCCCGCGCGCAGGCTGGCTGCCCGAATGGCGAGGGGCAAGGGATGATGGATGGGGTGGGTGCTTCTGGGAACGGAGGAGGAAGGCTGCGGGTGGGTAGGTGGGTGATGGATGGGGGGGGGGGTGAGGGGAGAGAAGAGGCAGATGGATGGGTGGACGGGAGGCTCCCTGGGGGGAGCGGGGGGTGGGCAGAGCGGAGAGGCGGGGAAAGCGCAGAGACTCTTGGCCACCTCGCAAGGTGCCTGCACAGAAGAGAGAGAGAGGCAGAGAGAGGGGGAGACACTCAGACAGACAGACAGACATACAGAGAGAGAGAGAGAGAGAAGCGCCCGACGCTGCCTGCCTGCCTGCCTGCCTCCCTCGCTCGCCTGCCCTTCCCCTCCTTCGTCGTCGGGTCTCCGGGGCAGCTTCTTCCCCAGCGATGCCCAACTTCTCCGGCACTTGGAAGATGAAGAACAGCGAGAATTTCGACGAGCTCCTCAAAGTCTTGGGTGAGCAAGGAAGGGCAGCCTTGGCCGCTGCGCCCGGCGCTCCGGCAGCGCTTGGAGGGGCCGGGGGGCCGGGAGAGGCTTGGCCGGGGGACTCCAGGGGGCGGAGGGGCTCACCCATTCCCCCCACCCCCAAAACACCGCCCCCAGGTCACCGGCCAGGCGGACCCTCGTGCACACGTTTACACGGGAGTCAGCGGCGCAGTGGAGAGCGGGACGCGACTGGAGCGCGCGCCAGATTGCGGCCGAATCCTCCCGTTTCCTCGGGCGTCCCTCCTCGTGGCCGCCGGGTTCCGGGTCTCCCCGCGTCCGGGAGCGCGGCATCGGATCCGGACAATCTCGCTCCCCGGTCGGGGAGAGTAGCTGCCACGCCCCGTGGGGCTTTACTCCCAGGTAGAAGGTGAACGCGGTGGGTTGAGGCGAGTTTACTCAGAAGGATCGCCGCTGTGCTCACCGGGGCTTACTCTCAAGTAAATGAGCGCGGGGAGGGGCTCAGGGGGGAAATCAGCGCGGGGGGATTCTCTCTCCCTCTCTCTCTTTGGGGATCGTTTTAGAAAGGGGGGGGCAGGCTGAGCCTGTGTTCCTGCAACGTTTACATGAACACGTTGAGACTTACTCCTGCGAATGGGCGGATCTGTCAATTTTTTTTTCTCTCGGTTTTTCCACTCTTAACTTCACATTTCCACATTTTTTTTTTAAAAAGTCATCTTGAAAATTCATCCTTTTTTTACTGTGACTTTCTCCTAGTATACTCATGACTCTATGCTATTCTTGCAAAGCAATTTCCCTTAATGCAATGCCTTTTTGTATATTAGATACCTGAATACATGCCTTTTTTACACACACTGGACTTTGGGATCCACCTCTTTAGGTTCAGATCCCCAGTCCAGAGAACCACAGTGCAGATTCCCAAGGATTGCTTGTGTTGTGGTTCTTGTATTGTTTCGGGAAATGGGAATTAAGGCGGTTGGCCTTAACAGGTGGACTGAATTACATGTCTGCCCCATTCCCACTTTCCCCAACCCCCATGTCCACAGCCTCTGCTCGCAAGCCATTGGGGAAGGGCCCTAGTTAAGCCTTAAAGTACCTGCCTGGCAGGCAGAAGTTTGCAGGCTCAGTCCCCAGCATCACCAGAGAGGGAGGCGAGAGACTTCCTGCCTGGAACCCCAGAGAGCTGCTGCCAGTCAATGCATGCAGTACTGAGCAAGATGAACCAGGGATCTGACAGGGTCGGAAGCAGCGGTGCTTCTGGATGCCAGCTGCTGGAAACCACAGGGGAGGAGAGAGCGCTCTTGTGGGTTTCCCCCAGAGAGGCATCCGGCTGGCCTCTGTGTAGGGTTGGAAGGAACAGCCAAGGGTCATCTAGTCCAGTGTTTCCCAACCTTTTTTGGGCAAAGGCACACTTGTTTCATGAAAAAAATCTCGAGGCACACCACCATTAGAAAATGTTAAAAAATTTAACTCTGTGCCTATATTGACTATATAAAAAGTACAGTGGTGCCTCGCAAGACGAAATTAATTCGTTCCGCAAGTCTCTTCGTCTTGCGAGTTTTTCGTCTTGCGATGCACGGTTTCCCATAGGAATGCATTGAAAATCAATTAATGCGTTCCTAGGGAAACCGCCTTCAGACCAGGTCCGGGGACAGTCTGTCCCCCGACCTCTTCTGAAGGCTGGGGGGGGGGGGAGAAGGGCTTTTCTTCCCACTGCTGTTCTGAAGGCTGGCGGTGGGAAGAAAAGCCCTTCTTCCCACCTCCCGCCCCGCAAGCTCCGGGGACAGGAGGGCTTTGCTGCCGACCGCCAGCATTTTAAAAGCCCCTGCTGTCCCGGGGCGATTTTAAAATGCTGGCGGGCGGGAGTGAAGTCTCCGCTGCCCCGAGGAGATTTTAAAATGCTGGGGGTCGGCAGCGAACGCTTCGCTCCCGCCCGCCAGCATTTTAAGATCGCCCGGGGCAGCGGAGAAGTCTCCGCTGTCCCGGGAAGGCAGGCGGGGGGAGCAAAGACTTTTGCCCCCGCCTGCCTTCAGAAGAGGTCCAGGACCTCGTTCCGATGCCCGGCGGTGGGGTGCGAGGTTCCTGCCCCACCGCCCGGCATCGGGGCATCGTTCCGATGCCCGGCGGCGGGGGGAGAGGTTCCCGCCCCACCGCCCGGCATCGGGGCATCGTTCCGATGCCCGGCGGCGGGGGGAGAGGTTCTCCCGGTGCTCCAAAGCGGGGCGGCTGGGGCAGGTGTTCCCGCCCCCCCGCCCCGCTTCGGAGCACCGGGAGAAGCGATCTCCCCGCAGCCCCTTGCTTCAAAAGAGGCCGGGGGCAGCGGGGAAGAAGCGCTGCGCTTCCCGCTGTCCCCGGACCTCTTTTGAAGCAAGGGGCGGTGGGGAGAAGCGATCTCGGGCGCGCAGGCGCACTGCTCGCTCCTCTTTCCGCGCAGGCGCCTTCTCTCGCTCTTTCGCCTCCTTTTCTTTCTCTCTCGATGGTCCGCCTACAAAGGAGCGAGGGAGGCGCCCGCCATGTTTGGATTTGCATCCAGCAGGAGATGCCGCCGCCGCCCCGCCTCTCCCGCCTCCCTCCCACGGCACACCAGGCAAGGTCTCACGGCACACCAGTGTGCCGCGGAACACCGGTTGGGAAACACTGATCTAGTCCAACCCCCTTCGATGCAGGAATCATAACTAAAGAATTCCTAGCAGATGCCCCAACCCCTGTTCGAAAACCTCCAAGGAAGGAGAGACCCCCCCCCACTTTCCCAGGGAGTCCATTCCATTGTCAAACAGCTTTTCTTGTCAGAAAGTTCTTTCTGATGTTCAGTTGGGATCTCCTTCCTTGTCATTTGAATCCATTGGTTTGGGTCCTCCCCTCCAGAGCAGGAGAAAACAAGCTTGCTCCTTCTTCTGTGTGATAGGACTTCAGATATTTGAGGCTGGCTATCCTGTCACTTCTCAGTCTCCTCTCCTCTGAGCTAAACACACCCAACTCCCTCAACCATTCCTCATAAGGTCTGGTGTCAAGACCCTTGATCATCTGGGTTGCCCTCCTGACCCAGCAGGCTCTTCGTGGTCGTCTTATGTCCTTTTGGCAGCTAACTTTGTGTTCAGCATCATGGTTCCTCCTCCTTGGTTTTGCCCAGGGGTCAACGCCATGCTCAGGAAAGTAGCCGTAGCTGCTGCCTCGAAACCACATGTGGAGATCCACCAGGAGGGGGACCAGTTCTATATTAAGACCTCCACCACCGTCCGCACCACCGAGATCAACTTCAAAGTTGGCGAGAGCTTCGAGGAAGAAACTGTGGACGGGAGGAAGTGTCGGGTAATAAATAACCGCTGTGTGTTACTGCCCTATTCATTTAAGGATTTTGTACTCTGTTTCCCCACTCTATCAATTTATTTCACTATAAAAGTATTCCTATACCACCATCTCATAAAACTTCAGGGCAGTGTGCAACAATCAAAAACACTATTAAAAACACAAATGATTATTCAATGGTTGATTTAGCAGCAGCCTAGGACTCAAAGCGGCTTGCAGGTAAGAAAAAAAACATGCAAAGCTTCAGGTTAAAACTTCAGAGAATAGACATGCTGAAACAATAGTCACAGGGCAAAACCCACCTGAAATCGAGCCATTTCCACCTGACCAGAGCTGGCCCACCCCTGAGGTGGGTGTGAAGCTCCTCCGTCAGGCAGCGGAGGCACCAGAGGAGCCCAACCCCTGGGGTGTTGCTGCTCATCTCCCCTCCCCTGGGGCAGAGAAGGCAAGCGGCAGTGCCTTGCAGAACAGACTGGCAAGGGTGTGTGTGTTCTGGTGACAACAAAAGTGGGGGTGAGGGGGGCACGGGGGCACATTCCCCTTTCGCCTCAGGTGGCCAAACAGGATGAGCCGGCCCTCCTCTGAACATCTGGAACTCAGCAGGGACAATGCCTTCCTGATTTGTAACAGGAGGCAGTTCCACAGAGTTGGGCCCACTGCCCAGAAGGCAGGATACTCTGCTATTCATTTATTCGTTATCACATTCTTATCCCACCTTACCTCCAAGGACCTCAAGGTGGTATACGTGGTTGTTGCCACTCCCCATTTTACCCTCACAACAACCCTGTGATGTAGGTTAGGCTGAGCTCCCAGCAGGACACTCAAACAACAATCCCACCTTAGAATTGTAGTGTTGGGAGGTACCCCAAGGTCTATGATTTTATGACTCAAATGTCATGTATTAATGTATAAACAGAGATGCAATTCTGAGCTGGCTTTCAGAGGTGGAAAACAAGCTCTGGCTCTTTCTATCAGGGCTTACTCTGAGTTGTGGGGTGCTGACGTGATTTTCTGGGCCTAATGCATTAATCGTGTTCCCAGCAGACTAGTAGAGACTGTTGACTGCCTCTTTGCTAACCTACCTCACAGGGTTATTGTGGGGGTCAAATGAAGAGGGGGAGAACCAGGCACACCACCTGGGAGGAAAGATGACATATATGCAAAGCTGAGAGGCGTCTTGTCATCTGGGCAGTCCAGGACCTCCAGACACCACCCTGCCCAGGCTTGGACCCCACCTTCAGTGCTGCTAAGGCAGTGATTTGACTTCACCCTCGGAGATGCCCTCCTTTGCCTCTTGAGACAGACTGATGCCAACAAGAGTTGGCATGCAGTCCAACACTATGCTGCCCAAATCAATCAACATCATCATGGGGGGAGGACTAGATGACCCTTGGGGTCCCTTCCAACCCTAATCCAGGGGTTCCTTGCTCTTGCCATCAGCCACATAAGATGGGTCCTTTAGAGAGTTGGGACAGATTTCTGAGAGATCATCCTGATTCCAGGGGTAATTAAGGACCATAAAGGCATTGCTGACTGGGATCTCTCCAGTCCAGAGCATTTCTTATTCTAGAAAAGTATTACATCCTCAGGCTGCTACATTTTGATGTGCTGGGATGTGTTTTATCTGTTTGTCACTCAGGGGTGCCAACTTGAATAAAATATTGTGGGGACCAGGTAAGGTCCACCCCACATAATGGATGGCATGAGACAGCACTTGAATGGCAATAAACGTCAGCTTTGAGGGGGCCCAGCCCCCTCAAATATTTTGTTGGGGGAGGCAAGTCCCCAGAGCCCCACTTTCTCTTTTGTGTTGCGGGGGGGGGGGAGAACATCCTGTTATCTTTTATAGCCTTGAATTGATGAGCCTGGATCACACCGCCCTGCATTTTGCTCTAGTTTCCTCAGCAGCAAAGTGTCCCATGAATATTAGGACAAAGGCATTGCTACCCCCAGCCCCCCCCCCGCCTCGCCCCTCCCATTGTTGTCTCTTGTTTGTTAATCAGAAATTCCTTTCCTTCTGGTGTTAGCCTTTCGTGGAGTCAAGTTGAGAGGTACAAAATAGTGACAATAATAGCCGTTAGGGAAAGTGGATGGCTGCTCATGGATCCTGACATACAAGAGACCATTTGCTACCATTTCTCTGCTTTGGCTGTTTACACAAAGAAATTTTGCCTGGTTTTTGGGACTGTTTATCCAGCCCTCTGCACCCACCACTTAGAATTGCTGGCTGTCTAGTGACTTGAGTGGCGTGAGGTGACTGATGGGCTTTAGGGCAGGGAAAGACAACCTCCAGGCTGCTGCCTCTTCTTCTGGGCTCTGCCCCTCCTCAATTTCCACCTTGGTTGGGGTGTATATGTGTGTGAATAGTTTTGGAAGGCTGATTAGGACCCTACCCTGGCAAGCGGGTGGGTAGAGGGGTCCAATCCAGTTTGGCCCCATGCACCTACCAATTGCACTACCAAAGGAAAAAATAGTTAAATGGATCAGGAGTGCCCTCTGTGACCAATCTGCTGCACTGCTTGGGAAGGGAAGTCCTGGCAAGTGAAGCCTTTTCCTTGCTCTGTTCACTCTCACCTGCATGCATAACACAAGTGAACCGTAGCAAGGAGGAAGAACAGCTCTAGGATATGGGCAGTGGGTCCCTTGCTCTGGTGTGGGCCTGGCCAGGTGACCTTCACACCTGCAAACATATCAGACCAAACCAAAGCCCACCCCAAATCTGTTTCATTCAGCTGGTAGTGGCGCCTCTGTCAGTCTCTGGCTGAGCAGATGGAAGCCCACAGAACTGTTTTGGCATCACAAATGAGCAACTACGAAATGGATGACATCCAGTTTCCGCGAGGGAAGGTAGCATTGAGACTTTGATGGGGGCAAGATGAATATTGAGAAGACAATGCTGTTTAATCTGGATTCTTTAGGCTTGTCATGAAATAATACAGCTAATCCCTCCCCCCCCCAGATGTGCGGATTGTGTGTGTGTACTCTTTGCTTGCAGAGTTTAGCCACTTGGGAGACTGAAAACAAGATCTATTGCAAACAAACTCTTCTGGAGGGAGAAGGCCCCAAAACATACTGGACGAGAGAACTGGCCGGAGAGGAGCTGATTTTGGTAAGAAATTTTAATTTTACAGGGATGAGTCTCGATGGTAAGGGTGGGCTTTCCTGGTACATAGAGAAGCCCCCTTTCCCCTGTTGTATTCATGCACTGAAAATGTGTGACCCTCCAGATGCTGGTGGACCCCAGTTCCCATCAGCCCCAGCCAGCATGACTAATGGTCAGGGGTAATGGAAGTTGAAGTCCAACAAAATTGAAAGGGCATCATAATGTCTTGGAGCAATACATTTTTTTGGGGGGGGGCAATTAACATGAAAGTCTTTTGCCAAGGGACCCACCAAACCCAGGGTCAGCCCAGTAGGGAGTGGCAGGAGTCCCGCTCCCCTCACCTACAGAATACCCTTTGTTGTAAAAAAACCAGACCCAGAACCCTCTGCATTAGAAGTGGCTCTATCATGTCTCTCAAGATCTTCAGTCCTAACCTCCACTTTACTTATTTACTTAAAATATTTACAAGCCTCACTTTCATAAAAAATATAACAAGGCAGAGTACAGCATTAAGACACAATACAACAGCCATAAAAACATCAGAAATACAGCAAGGGGGGGGAAAGGTTGGTTAAAAAGTTAGATTGCAAAAAAATTTTTAAAAAAATTGTCTGCACAGTTGTTGATAAAAGATTCCAAAATGAAAAGCAGGGCTGACTCCTGCTGGATGACTTCTGGCAGGGAGTTTCACAGGACAGACAAAGTTTGGTCTTTGGTAAAAGCCAAAGGAACCTCAGCCTACACACACACACACACACCGCCACAAGTGCTGCATCAGAAAAATGCTGTGGTTGAGGAGGAGCAAAAGGACTCAGGCGAACCTCCAAGGTCCTTGGAAGCTCTGCTCTTGCAACTTCTGTGTCAGCCATAGAAATCTAAAACCTTTGGGAGAGGGAGTTTTTGTGGATTTTTATTTATTTATTTCATAAAAGTTATATGCCACTTGACTGAAAAGAAAAACACCCTTAAAACAATCTACACTAAAAACAAGAGCAATTTACAACAATAAAACATACAAAAAGTTTTAATATGAAAACATTAAAATTCACACCAGCATTTCTAAGCACCTAAACAAGCATCAGCAGGCAAGCGCCAAAAAGAATACTGTGAAGGTGCCTGCCTAAAATCAATAGGCAGGGAGTTCCAATGTGTAGGCGCTGCCACAATAAAAGATTCGCAGGAACAGGTATTATGTGGCACCTGCAGGAATGCTAATGCCACTGACTGAAGCAGCTGAGTGGGCAAATGTGGGGGCAAGGCCACCTTGTAGGTAAATTGGTCTCAAGTGGCACAGATTTTGGAACATTCTCCCCCCCCCACACCCTCCAATCTCTACTATGACCCATTTTCACAGGAAAGAAACTACCACAGGTTGTCAGGTATTTGAATATTGAATGTTTCCTTAGATAAATTGCAAATAAGTTCTCCTTCCCCACCCACTACACACACAGACTTTACTTTCCTGATGAAAGCAGCCTGAAGCCAAATTTTGCAGAGTTCGTTCATTTTTAAAAAAAACAGTTTTATTAATTTCCAATATATAACAACCACAAAAAAGAGGCGGGGGGGGATACAAAAACAAAATCCCAACTCTCCCCACTTCTCCCTTCAGAATGGATCGATTTAGTTAAATTTTGCCAAAGTCCAATCTGTGATTTTGGTAGTTGCTATTCTTCAGGGTTATCAGTAAGGTGTTTTATAAAAGAATGCCAATTGTCTACATAATTTGTATTATTCAGTGCATGTAATCTCTTTGTTAATTTTTCCAATACAGCAATAATGAGAGATACAGAGATGGTTCAATCCTTTCCAATTCTGTGCCTCTAGTAGGCGTGCCTCTATTAAAAGAAAAATAATTAGTTCTTCATAACAAAGTTCAGATTGCCCCTTAAAAAATAGTTAACAATCCCAAACTTGAAGTACATTCCACGTTACAGCTTATTTCTGTAAATCCCCTCTGCCAGGAGGGCTTTCTGTGTTCACACATCCACCACATGTGAAGTGTGGTACCTATACTATTGCAGCCTCTCCAGCACAATGGTGGGGTAGTTTTATTAATATAACTACACCGTAATGGTGTAGTAATTTAAATGTATCCAAGTTGAAACTGATTTAGCCCACAAATTATACCAATCCACCTCTGCAATCTCTATCCCTGATCAGATTCCCTTTGTTGTTTCACGGAGTTGCATCCTCCAATTGCTAACTCATTAATTATTTGGTAGAGTATACATACATACATACATACATACATATATAAAATAAAAAAATTCAAAGGATGTTAAAGGTCTTGTGGCATGCGCTTTAATTTTGGTTTGATATGAAATACTTTATTCATGGACCATAAAGCTGTTCCCATTTTTCTCGTTGTTTGTTAGCTGAAGCATTTTCAAATAAATAAATTAGTCAATAAAGGTCTTTCTCTCTCCATTTCTGAATAACAGTCTCTTCCTGTTGTATCAAAATTGGGTGCAGTACAAAAGGTATCAATGGAGAGACTGAGGGAGTTAATGAAGGTGCCCACATCTTCTTGCTTTCAGAGCTGACTTTGTGCATGGATTTATTAGAGAATCAAAAATGTTTTTATTATGTATTAAACACGGTAGACTCAGTACTCTATATATTTCTATCAAACTCCATTTGCTGCCATAGTTTCTCATTTGTGTTGTGTGTTATTCCAATTGCATTTTGAATATGACATTTTTATAAATGAGGTAGAGCAAGCTCCCTACCTCCACCCCAGACTGCAGATAGATCACAGCTAATTGTAATCTGGGTCTTTTACCCTGGTGTACAAAGTTTACTATCATCTTTTTACCTTTTAAAAAAATTCTCAGTTGAAATACAGATGGGTATAGTCTGAAACAAAAAGAAAAAATTTGGTAGAACCATCATTTTCACTGAGGACCCTCTTCTCATCCTTTACTTTCCTGATGAAAGCAGCCTGAAGACAAATTTTGCATAGTTCACAGATCACACCAAGAGGGAAGAAAGGTATCTCCAAATCAATTATCATCCAAATCCAGAGGCTTTTGAGCAGTTTGAAAGAAAGATTCATAAGCCCCCTCCTCTCTCTCTCCCTGAGGGGAAAAAAACCATGCTTCAGCTGATTAAAGCCAGTGAGCTGTGGGGCACGGATGAATGAGTGAACATTTTTATAAATGGCATTGCAGAATTGTGAAATTGAACGCGGCTGGTGAGAAGGTTCAACACACAGTTTAGAAGCTTTGATCTCCAGTGGCTGTGACTTTTCAGACTTTGTCTCAGCTGAGCCCAACCCTAATCCCTTGAACATTTCCACACCCACCCACCCACAACAATCTTAAGGATGATATAAAAAGCAGAAGTAGCCATGCTGGCAAATTGAAAAATCCATATTCAGGCAACACGTTATCCCAGATCCACATCAATGCAATACCTTTATTAGGTCACTCAAAACATTACAAAATAGGGTGTCGGCTTTGGGGTCCCTGAGAACTCTTCTTGATGTAGCAGCCATGGAGTGTGCTGGCATCTAGCCAATCTTAAGAACTTCCGATGGTCGTTTTCCAGGCACCTGACTTCAGTGGGCCCTTGTCAGGGGCCGAATCTTTCATGTGGCAGGTCCTGCCCTGTGGAACTCCTTGCCAAGTGGGAATCTTCCCTGCTTCCTTTTAAAAACTGTGCTCTTCAGAGAGGTCTTGGGGGTTTTGCACTTGTTTTAACAAGTTTGCTAATATGCTGTTGATGCTTTCACTGATATTGTTGTAGTGCTGTGTTTTCACAGCACCATTATTTTTCTATGAAAGACAGAAAGAAATAAAGGGAGGAGGGGGGAGGTTTCAAGTTGCCCTCAAGATGACTGAGAAAAACACACAGTAGTAGCTGGTCCATGCCTGAAAATTCTGGGTGGCATTCAACTAAATTTTACTCAGTCACCCTACTTAAATTAATGGACCCAACCTAGCCATCTTCATTAATTGCAATTGGTCTCCTCTGAGTAAAACTTAAGTTGAATACTGCCCATTAAACCCAGGTGTTAGTCAGATCTCTCTAAGAGGTCCTAATTCTATGGGTTAGCTCAGTATTAACATGGGTTTAGCATTTAGTGACGCGGGTGGCGCTGTGGTCTAAACCACTGAGCCTCTTGGGCTTGCTGATCAGAAGATCGGCAGTTTGAAGGAGTGCCGCAAGCCCAGAGTTGTTCGTAACTGGACTTAACTCTCAGGGGTCCTTTACCTTTACCTAGCATTTGGTGAAAAGTGCTTGTGTTTTTCTAATGGGGAGCAGACAATGATGATGCCATCATTCCTTGCCCTTTCTGAGCAGACCCCCCTTTTCCACATTGCTCTTGCCTATCCTTGTGCCCCAGTCCCTCTGGGCCCAATCCATGTCACTACCCAAAGCAAGAGAGCAACACCCTGCCACTTCCTGGCAAGAGAGGGAGTCTTGCATCCTTTCTGCTGTCTGATTTGCTTGAAAGTGTCTCTTTTTCTGTTCCCCTCCAGACTTTTGGTGCGGATGATGTCGTATGCACAAGAATTTACGTAAGAGAGTGAAAAGTACCAGCCACCATCGAGCGGGTGGGGGATGAAGAGATGGATTAACAAGCAGATGTTGTGTGAGAGAAATCCTGTGCAGTAAACATCCCTGTGTGTGGCCTACAGAGCAGCCTCCTACGTGACCATACATGTCATCTTGAATCCCAGTCGACCAGCCCATGCCTTGGGCTTTTCGCTCTGATTACAAACCCTAGTCCCATTAGAATTGTGTCTCTCTGTGTTCTCCTCATCTCTTTTCCATTCTTTTACTTTGTGTTTTGTAGTTTACAAATTTGTATGATTTGAGCAGTAATTAAATTTATTGAACATAATGCCCAATGCTTTGAAAGGGTTCCCCTCCTCTTCTTTTCCCTCAGCACAAGGAGCACAGCATTCCAGCTAGCCAGCGGGATGTCGTGGCTATTGTGGACGAGGGTGGCCCAAGGCTCAGGCCTCTCCTTGAGCTGGAGACCCCTCAAACCTGCAGGGTTTCTGAGCAAGAAAATGAACTGATCAGTCCTAGGAAGCTCTTAGACTGAGTCAGGCCAATGGTCTCCCTAGGATCAGCATTGCCTACTCCGACTGGTAGCTGCTCGCCAGAGTTTCAGGCTGGGCTTTTCCCCAGCCCTGCCTGGAGATGCTGGGGATTGAACGTGGGGCCTTCTGCATGCCAAGCAGATGCTCTGCCACTGAGCCAAGGTCTGTCTCTTGTCCGAAGGCTTTCAGTTCCCTCCAGCAATGAAAACTTCCAGAGTGAACTCTGCAGGGCTTTATCAATAGAGAGGCTGGTAGCACCTTAGAGCAAAGGGTGCCAATGTGGAAACCTCCAGATGCTGCTGGACTCTTCTTCTTAGGCGATTACTCGTAGCTGAGTAAGATTGCCTTCCATAAACACGGTTTTAACAATGAGTCCGTGACTGTGGAGGCCAATTCTGGACCCACACGTCCTTCCAGTGGGGACTACAACTCCCATCAACCCCAGCCAGCAGGGCCAGGGCTCAGGGATGATGGGAGCTGTAGTGCAGCAACATCTGGATGGCCACAGGCTTCCCATCCCTAGGTTTACCTTGGGCTCCTCCAAACCCTTTGGCTCTGTAACACTTCAGGCATGCTCTACCCCAAACAAGAGATCAGAGTAGCTTATCATAGCCCAGCTGGGTCAGATTGAATGTCCCTCTGGTCCAGCGTCCTTGACCCAAAGTGTCCAATCAGATTCCTCCTGGAAACCCACAAGCAAGGAAGGCAACATCTCTCATCACTGACTTGAGCCTCCTACGTCTAGGGAGCTATCACAGCCAACACCATTGACAGACCTACCCTGAAGCGGCCTCCTTCCCCATGTCAGAGGCATCTCTGACAGCAGCCATTGCCCCATCTAATGCTGAGCTAATTGTGCCTTGGATGGAAACAGGTTTGGGAACCTGCAGCCCACCAACGCTCACCTTGGGCCTGCAACTGGGGCAGATGGGAGTTGGGAATCCAGCCCCGCCTGCTTTCCATCACCGAGGAAGTCTTTCTCAGCACAGTCCACAATTAACTTAAGGAATTTCCACACAGATCAAATGCTGTTTATTGCACAGGTGACCAAACAGAGAGAGAGGACAGCTTTCAACACGTTAGTCCCCTGGGTGCACAACCAGACCCCCCCACTGCACCCCCAACTCAGAGCCCCTCCCTCCCAACACCACATCCTGATCGAGGGAGTTGCTCAGGGAACACCCCGTCGTACAGCATACAAGCATTCCACTCTCAAATCCGCGGCTCTGAGCAGCCACTTCCAGGCCAAGTCTCCAAGTCAAGCGTGAAGGGGCAACTGAGCTTGTAGCCCCGTGTGCCAGCTGGGGGGGGGGCTGTTGGCAACAGGGGCAGAGACTAGGGCAAGCTGTCTGGCCGCCCCTTGGTCCTACAACAAGAAGAGAGTCAACGTCTGCACAACGAACACTGGGGAAGAAACACCCAAGTTCTAGGATCGAGACACAAAAAGGACTGGGACTGGAATGGGCTGGCTCTTTCAAGCTCACCTCCCCGGTTAAAGAGACAACAGAGACTTGGAAAAGAAGAGGTGGGGGCTGTTTTCACTGTACACATACTGCGGGGGGAGGGGGTGCCTTGTGCTATTTACACAACAACCCTGGCACAGAGGTCCTGCCAGCCGAAACCAGCCCTTGCTGGTCTTTGATGGCAAGGAGAGGCCGTCGCAGGGAGGGCGTTGGCAGGCAGAAGTGGGACAGGTGATGCACTGGGGGCGGCAGCAGGGGGGAAGAGAAGGTGCAGCAGCCAAGAGCAGCCCTGGATATGGCCCTTTCGTAAACTAGGTGCTCCAGACCAAGTTGGGAAACTGCACTTTACCCGCACACAAACACACACGGATATATATATGATTTAAAAGGAAATATTCCGCCCTCTCTCTCCACCCACCAGCCCCTTCCCCAGCCGCCAGACCCTAGACCTGGAACGACCAGGGGATCCGTTGCGTGCAGAGCGACGGCTGAGGAACCCCAAAGCAGAGCCCCAATGTCCAAAGAGGAAATAAATATCAGACGCAGAAGGAGAGGGTGGGCCGTCCCCACCGGCAGGAGGCTGGAGCCTGGGGGCTGGGCGGGGGGGGCGCCATTAGCGGACCATGTACTCCTTCCGTTTGTTGAGGCGCACTTGGCAGAAGGAGAAGCCCCCCAGGAGGACGTAGCCCTAGCTATTCCACCCCCTGAAGGGATCCCTCTATACTGCTTTACAATTCCTTCGGAGGCTAAACGAAGGGCCTTTACCTGTGCCCGTCTCAACTGTTTTCCTACAGCAGTTCTGTCGGGTCGTTACTCCAGAGTTCCCAGCGCAAATAGAACATGCTCCTGCAATGACACGGTTCTGGAGACTATGGAACATGTAATGCTCTTCTGTCCCAACTGGACAGATGAAAGATCTCGGTTCCTAACTCCTCTCGTGAACAAGCTTCATCTCCCAATCCAGCCTTGGATAGTGTCCCTTCTTCTGCAGGATTCTGACCGTTGGATTACCGAGATGACAGCTAATTTCCTGCTTAGTGTGATGAAGAGGAAAGCGGCACCAACTCCTTCCTCAATACCACAGATGTAGTCGATACGCCGCACAATCGAACCTGTTTTTTGTATTCTCTGTCACTCAATGTTTTAAATCTCCCGTTACCTTTGTTATCCCCATTTTCTCAAAGTATTCGCCCAGAACGGCATACACTTTTATCTCCCCACCCCCATTTTATGTTGTTATTTCTATGTATATTATGCTATGGCCGCATGGCTAATGCAATAAAATCATTATAATTAAAACTTAAGGAATTTGTTGTCAAAAGGCAGTGCTGGAAACCTGTGGTCCCTACAGACAAGATAATATTTTTCATCCCTGTTGCCTAGAAGATTACAGCTCAGCATTTAGAGTTTGAGAGCATTTAAGGACAAAGCACACTGCTCATGCAGTCACTGTACTTGCCAGGGAGCAGCAGCACACAAGCTTTTTTCTGATAGATCCACTTGCTTTTTTCCATGGATTACCAACTGCTCAATTGTGTTTAATCTCCACAGCTTAGTTCTTGAAAACTAACAATCCTGAGGAGGTAAACTTTAGTCAGCAGCTGGGGGCTTGACACAACAGACAGCCCTGCCATATGAAAATTAAACAAATCCCTGCATGTAGAAATCTATCCCATGAAGAAGCAGCATCCTATGTGTCATGTCAAGAAGCATCCAAGCATCACTGTCTCTCTCACACGGTCTTTTCTCTGGGAATCTCATTAGTGGTACCATGGCAGAGCATTTGGTCGATTTAACAGCAATGTGAAAATGACTATGCAAATGAGAAATGATGTGAATATCTAGAATCATAACATACTTGTTCCCATCCACTGAAACCTTTGCACCTCTCCATGGATACAAAACATACATTTAATCTGTTATCAGTTTCAAAGCCATCCAAAACGTATGCCTCATGAAACAAAATGAAGGAGAGGGAATGGTTTCCTTGGGTAGTTACCACACCCAAACCCATTTTGTTAAGTGTATTTTATTACTTTTATACATGTGCTAAACATCATTTAAAATACAACAAACAAGAGCAGCTAATCTGTCATCTCTTGAAAGAAGGTGTAATAAATAGCATCTTAAAGTTGGAACCATACTGAGATCCAGTTTATAATGCACGTTAGAGGCTCTGATCCAGCAGGTCTGGGGAGGTGATTTAGAAACTCACTTTGATGTAGGAGGACAGGGCACAGCCTTCCGCAGACCATTGTGGCCATCTAGTTCAGTACTGTCTGCACTGACTGGCAGCAGCTCTCCAGGATTTCAAGCAGGGTTCTCCCCCAGCCCCCAAGATGGATGCTGGGGTCCAAACCTGGGACCTTCTGCATTCAAAGCAGGTGCACTGCACTGAGTTGTGCCACTTTCCCACTGTGTGAAAATTGCTGCACAGCTCCTTAAGCTGTTTGACATTTTCTCTTGTTAGGGCAAACTGCTGCCTCATCTACTTTTGACCCTGATCCCTTATGCAAGGGGAAGTGCTTCTCCACTAATTCCAAACAATGCTGCATACTAAAACACTCACAATAGGAGCACTGGCCTGTTAAATTAAGTTTGAATTCATTCAGACTATGTTAATTTATGAATACTTCAGAGACAGCAATTATTAGGGTTTCCCCCCTTTCTTTTTTGCCCAATGCTTGCTGTTAGGATGCCAGCATAATTAGGGGCTAGAAGCAAGCAGCTAATCTTCAAGCATGCTGGAAAGAGGATTGTTTGATGAAGCGCTGTGTAATCGGGCACAGCTCCTAAAAATGCCTAACACCTAACGAGTTTAAGGACTTAGGATACTCGCTGAAAACCACTGCCTGTAACACCCCAACTGCGAAGCACAATGGAACACAGGAAGATGCTGGCTGAGGCAAAGCAGGCAAGGTTTGGCTAGAGTTGCAGCTCTCAGACTTGAATAACATGCTGACAAAAGGCATCTCTTTTTTAACACACAGCACAGAAACAACACAATAAGCCAGGGGTCCCCAAACTAAGGCCCGCGGGCAGGATAAGGTCCAAGGGGCTCGTTTATCCGGCCCACAGCGACCCCGGCCACCAGCTCTTATTGGCGCTGCGCTGTGCGGCTGCCCACTTCCGGGTTGGAGGAGCACTGGAAATAGCTTGTGCGCATGTGCAAGCGTTGTGCTCACGCGGGTTATTTCTGGTGCACATCCGGGTTGGAGGCCCATGCACATAAGCTATTTCCGGTGCTCCTCCGACCTGGAAGTGCACCAGAAATAGCGTGTGCATATGGGCATGAGCTCCCCCACCCTCTGCGCAATTGGCGCTGGAGACACCGGCCTG